TGAGGTCATTAAGCAGTAAGCTAAAACTCTACATTCAATGTCACACTGACTAAAATTGCTTCTATCTATGACATTTAGTCTTTCATGAAAAGTTGTCTCATTGGAAAGCACACCAAATATTAATTAATCATATCAATCACAGAATTATTTGATTTAGGAATATTTTTAAATGTTTATGAATTGATATAAATGATCATCTAAGTTAAAATCTACATGATTTGAATTGAGGCTTTTCATAGCTCACTATGTGGTATGGGTTTTGCTTGTTGTTGAAGGCTGTACATTGACCTATTGTTGTTAATGTCTGTGTCATTTGGTCTCTTGTGGAGGGTTGGCAATCATACCAAGTCTTCTTAATTATATGAACTAGTAGGAATGTTTTATTGAAAGGTATATTATAAGGAATGAAAACCAATGTTCAAAAGTGGATCCATAACTAACAATCTTTATTCAAAGACACAAAACAATTAATGAGACAATGCATGCCCATACATTCAAGTGCAAAATCATAAAAAATATATACAACAATACATACATGTAGCTACCTAAATTTAAATCAAATATACTCCACAATTTCAAACTAAGAGTCAACGATAATTTTAAAACTTATGACAACTATTTAAAATATTTTTTAAATAAGTTTACATGCCCTCATTGTTGTTTTTTTGTTAATATCTTTCTATATTTGGAAGTTGTCAAAAAAATTGATAATTATTTGAAATAATAATAGATTCATGTCAGAAATCACAACACTGTACAACATTTATAGTATAGGAACTTTGAAATTATTAAAATCATAATATATCATTATACATTTTAAAGTAAAAAAAAAAAATGAACATCGGAGCCTTTTAACTTGTTCTAATAATTCCAAGACCAGTTTATAATATATACATACTGAAGTTCCAATAAAAATTTAAAGATTTTGATACATTCAAGCTTCATCATGTTCATGATACATGTTGATTTAAATTTTTTACTGTTATTTGACACATACTGAATAGTCAAAGAACTGATTATTCAAGGCATACTGGAGTTAATGTTGTCTAAATAAAATTCACTAATATACTAACTAATTAGATGAACTAAGGTATCATTTTATTCACAGGTTTATACAACACCTTTATTTTAAATTCTTAACAGGATTTTGAGAAATTCCCTATATTGAACCTCATCGGGTTATTTTATAACTGTTTAGTATAAATATAATACTATATTCAATATAGAGAACTTTAAAAGACTTCTTCTTTTTTTCAAGGATTTGTATAGTGACACTATACAAATCCTTGTTTTTTTTAAACAAACTTTATTAAAAGTCGAAGTAAGATTGAAATTTATATAAATTATAATATTGATATCATAATTTGCAAATACTTCAATTTATTATTAACTAGAAACACCCTTCTAAAGCTATCGGGCCTCACTAAATTGTGTAACTTAAATTGTGTAATATCCTTCATAAAACTAGACACTTTGACGTCACACCAGATTCCACAGACGAGTGAATTTCTTTGATCTATGTTTGACCACTGAAGTTAAACAATCCTGCTATAGTATCATCAGTTCATACAGATGTCCTTGTAATTATTGCAAACAATACACAATATATAATTTTGATAATTAAAAGTTATTTATAAATTTTTCCTGGTTAATTGAATATTTAATCCTACTTACAATTCATTGATTCAGTTACTGTAGTGTTTATTGTAAGAATTGTGGTCGTACACAATTAAAACAATTTTCATAAATGAATTCTTTATTTTATTGTTAAATAAAGAATTTCTAATTTTAAAACTCTTAAAATATCTAATTCATAATTTCATAAATTCAGATATATTAATTATAAGAATGGTTTTTTTTTTAGTATAAGCCTATATGTATTTTCAATCTTAGTTCTTATATTGAAATATTGGTTTGTAAACAAATACCCCGAATGTAAAATCAAATACGCTCTTTTTTGCGTGTTTACAGAATCCTTTGTTATGTGTATTGGCAGAGACATATAATACAAGAGATTCGCAACTCTAGTAGAGTCTATATAACAGCCAATGAAGTGACGTGTATTATATGTCTCTGGTATTGGTATTATTTTGTTTCTTTTGCATTGATGAATCGATGTTACCACTGTGCTACCATCTTGTTGTTCTATTTCACATTTCTTTCCTCCTTTACAACAGCCAAGAGAGAACTGAGGAATGTTGAAAATCAGTTTACCAATTATCATGGTCAATTTGTATCGATTTAAAATTGTCTGAACATCGGAAGATAATGTCTATTTTTTACAGGTGTATCTGGTCACCGTCAATCCTTCGAAAATGCTGACAAATACAAACTTTGAATATAAATCACGAATTCTTTGACAATTACAAAAATATATATATGTCTCGTTTACATTTTACTATTAAAAATACCAAATTTGTACATATTTTTATAAAACGCATTTTTCATCTGCATTGCCATATTCTTCGATACAATTTGACATTCATTCTAGCGGGGTTTTTTTGTGCATAATATTGAAGTGTCAAAACTGTTATGTATGATTGTTATTTGTGTTGTTTTATATTTGTTGTATTGATAAATAATGTGTATGCCAGCAACCCCTTTGGGAATACGACTGTGTGCATGACTTCGGACAGTTTAATATTTAATCGTTTCTTATAAATACTCGATTGATTGATTGATTGATTGTTGGTTGCTTAACGTCCAGTGGCAAATATTTCATGCATATTCAGGACGAGAACAAATTAACAATAAATACAATAGGTAGGTTCTGTAATAGGGGCGTCCGGGATTAAGGTCGGAGAAATTTAGACTGCCACGGGAAATGAGGGTATATTGGATAGGGACAGAAATTTAGCCTTGCAACAGGTCACCTACGGACCCCTCAAAGAGTTGTTGCAATGGTTCTTAACGTGCAAAGAGCGTGGCACTCTCTTTACACGAGGCATCGGATTTAACGTCCCCATTCTGACCGGACGTGGCTGCAAATTTGTACATCCCGCACAGCCAAATAGACGCCCCACTTTAGCAAGGGTTTTACTGCCGGTCGGAGGAAGACCAATGGTGACCATACTTCTATTCCCCAGTCACCCTTGGGGTTATAAATACTCGAATATTGCGAACTATAGTAAAACTTATAACGAACACACATTTCGCTAAACTGTGCTATAAAAAACAGACATATAAACATATTTCTGATGATTGAATTCGGTGTAAAATAAATAGTAAATAAATCTCGTTCTAGTATTTTTCATCATACGATAGACAATCTAAAACTATTGATTGATGTATGTTGTGATTTTTACTTATTTGTAAAGTCTCAAAGCGACTTTAGGACGTTCAAAGACATTCAAAGGCATTGTTTTTCGTACTCGTACCTTTATCTAGGTTGTTTGCCTTGTGTGTTGAGGGATTTTGTAGCAAAGTCAACCCTATTCTTTCTCTCTTAAATATAATTCTAAGATAAGCATGATAATTTCATGTAAATATTCCGAATATTTCATTAACTCTCTAAACTCGACTATCAATTACTTTAATCTTAATGTTCTTGATTTTCAAACACCCTAAACAAAATGTGGTTCTGATTGGTGTTATCCTAATTTGTGAAGCCTTCAAAGTTGAAGAGTGATTGACAGTAAATATATAATAGCATGATTTGTGATTGACAGTAGCCCCACCTTATAACCATATGGCACAATACAGCTTATGCAACATTTACTTTTGACCCTTTCAGGACAGTTATAACTTAAATGTAAATAATGTACATGTTTCAACAATTATAGCGTAATCTGTATTTACTTTTGACCCTTATGGTACGTCAACTGGGCGCTTAAGCTGCATATGCTATTTATTACAGCATAGGCTACATTTAATATAGCATAGGCTGTCATAATTATAGCATATGCTGTATAAATTATAGCATATGCTATATATTATAGCCTAAGCGACATTAATTACAGCATAGGGTACATAAATTATAGCTTAAGTTTATATAGCATATGCTGTATTAAATGTAGCATAGGCAAAATAAATTACTTTTGACCCTTTCCGTACGCCATAGAACAACAAATGTTCTTAAACCCTGCTGACTGCCATTGGCGATTGCCAAATAAACGGATCACCGATGTAATAAATGGATCTTAATTATATATATATAAATTTTATACTAAACATAAAAACAATAAACTTGCGGAAAAGATGGTATACCGCAAACAAAAGGTGCAAAGGTTTTTGTACACCATATCAGGATTTCGACAATTAATGTCTCTTCAGTGATGTTATAGGAATCGAAACGGAATTTGGAAAGCCATACAATTTACCTCAAGTTAGGATAGACTCTTGAATTTTGAGAATTATTAGAAGGGCATCATATATACACATTCATTTACTTTAGGGGGTCCAATACTTTAGAGTTGAGGTTCAATAATGGTGATGGTCTCAGGGGTATGTTAGGTTTTTTTCTAATTAGGTTTATGTTTACAGGTTGGGACTAGTGTAAAGTTAGGTGAGGGCGTTAGGGATAGGCATAGATAAAGGTTTTGTTTTGGGTAAGGGTTGGTTTAGCTCAATATGTTTGGGACCTCAGAAGCAAAATCTTAAAGAAGGCCCATATAAAAACACTGTTCTATTATAATATACAATGTAGTATGGAGAAGAGGAAGCGTGACCCTATGAAATAAGAGAAAATAAGTTAAAATTTAAAAAAAAATGTTCACTAAAAAAATCAATGAGGCAAAAAATATAGAAGAAGATGTCCATGGTCCTGGGACATAATATATTATTATATTGGTCCCAGCATGGTCCAGCCATAAAATAAATAAATTAATTAAAAAAAATAATAAAATAAATAAATAAATAAATAAATAAATAAATAAATAAATAAATAAATAAATAAATAAATAAATAAATAAATAAATAAATAAATAAATAAATAAATAAATAAATAAAAACACATGTGTACTGTGAATGTCAAAAATATTTTAGAATTGTCTCCCTTTCCTAAATTCTAAAACCCGGAGGCAGGAATTGTGCAACTTCCGGATTTGACACACGACAGCTGTCAGAATTTTCGTACAAATTTCATCAGATTATTATAATTTTAGTTTAAGCCATATATTTATTTTCTATCTACAAATTTCACTTCAGTACAATGGCTTCAATCGAAGACTTACAGAAGAAAGTTAAACAACTAGAGGAAGAACTAGAAAAATCAAGACAATCTGGTGCAGTAAGAACAAAAATTTCTCAAATGAGCTCAGAAGTTGTTGATTCAAATCCGTACAGGTAAATTTAATGATATGTTAGATTAGATTAGATATGTCAGCAATATCTGTTTGGAGACTACTTACAAATGAATCCTGTTGTTTTTCCATGTTAAATTATTGACGTTTTAGTTCCGAATCTGACATTCCAAAATCACAAGATATGTTTTAAAAATTATGTCTAAGGTTTAAATGTGCACCATATTACAGTTAGGAATCAGCTGGACAAAAACGATTGATTAACAAAAGGCACTGGCTACGTTTACCTGCAGAAAGTAACAATAAGAAATAATAAGTGTTACTTCCGAGACTATAATTGCCAAACTGTATTTCCAGACAATTCCTCGATTTCATGATACAGAAATTGTGGGTAACAATAACTTTAATTTTTTATTGTCAGTGCCTTAATTAAAATAATTGGATACAATCTTTAATCTGTAATATAAATTCTGTCAATATAGGCACACCTCTTCTGATTAGTTTTGGATTCGCAATCACAATATGGTATCAGGTTGTTCCGTCCCCAAACCGATCCTGCCCCCAAGTCGATCCGGCCCTAAGTCGATCCGTCCCTAGTCGATCCATCCCACGATTTCAATTCAAATATTTTATTTTAAAATGATATTATATTTCTATATGACATGTATGAAATCTTAATATAATTTTAAGAAACTATTTAAATAAATGTCTCATCTTATGAAAATTAGATATTCAAATATTAGTCAAAGGCCAACTTTTTTACCGTCCACCTTTTATGTTATTATAAAATTCATAAACATTTATGAATTAATATTCATATATATCTTTATTTCTATTCCTTATAAATATTTTTTACATTGGGGCCGGATCGACTTAAAATATGGGGCCGGATCGACTTTTGACGGTTTGACTTGGAGCTGGATCAACATGATAGCTCACAATATGAATAAAATCTCTTCCACCAATATCACTCTCATCCATGTCATCACTGTACCAACACTTTCACTATAAAATCTAAAGAATATCTAGCTAAAGATACCACTGTTTCTGAGTAGACAAACACAAATCACTTAAAGATATATGTTAATAAAAAAATGAGATAAAGTTTTTTCTGTGGAAAATATATCTGCATGTAGAATTGAATTAGAATTGTCCAAAGATGGTTTAAGCTCCGATTGCCTACATATCACATTGGCTCAGATTTCATTCCCCCACCAAGTCTGTTTGCCCTCAATCTGATCATGCTAATTAAAATACAGATACTTTGTACAAGCTTTGCTTATAAGGATCTGAAGAAACTATATAATTATTACATCAGCCAATCAAATTTCAGCCTTAAAATTTTCGAAGGTGTGTATTAATCCAACAAAACTAGAGGATTCTGAAAATTGTGTTTAATTCATTCATGAAAATAAAATCATAAGTTTACATGTATGAAAAAGAAATTAAATCATGTAAGTAACCATGGTAACTGATTTTATTTTATCAATCTCAAGTTGTTTGGTTTCAATTACAACAATGAATTATAGATTCCATTGGTATTTAAAATCAGAATTATATCTTAATGACTGTTGGTTGATATTCAGAATGCTAATTAGATATTTTAGTTATGTGTTTGATTTCCATGCTTGTTTTAAGAATAACATGGTATTAGCTTTAGTGGATTAATTAACATTATGAAAGTAACAACTTTCAGTAAAATTAATAAAATTGAGAATGGAAAAGGGGAATGTGTAAAAGAGACAACAACCCGACCATAGAACAGACAACAGCAGAAGGTCACCAACAGGTCTTCAATGCAGCGAGAAATTCCCGCACCCGGAGTCGTCCTTCAGCTGGCCCCTAAACAAATATATATACTAGTTCAGTGATAATGAACGCCATACTAAACTCCAAATTGTACACAAGAAACTAAAATTAAAAATAATACAAGACTAACAAAGGCTAGAGGCTCCTGACTTGGGACAGGCGCAAAAATGCGGCGGGGTTAAACATGTTTATGAGATCTCAACCCTCCCCTTATACCTCTAGCCAATGTAGAAAAGTAAACGCATAACAATACGCACATTAAAATTCAGTTCAAGAGAAGTCCGAGTCTGATGTCAGAAGATGTAACCAAAGAAAATAAACAAAATGATAATAGTACATAAATAACAACAGACTACTAGCAGTTAACTGACATGCCAGCTCCAGACTTCAATTAAACTGATTGAAAGATTATGTCTTCATCATATGAATATCAGGCACAATCCTTCCTGTTAGGGGTTTAGTATCATACCATCATAACATATATGAGAAGAAAATAACCCGTGTCATGCCAACAACTGATTTTTAAATAAATGTGTTTAGTGTTTATGCAAAGACCCTATAAGTGAATCAATATTAACGCCAAAATATGCAATCTTTAATGACCTGACAACAGTATCGTAACTATATCCCTTCTTAATAAGTCTATTTAAAGGTTTTGTTAGCTTCAGAGGTGAATACTGACATTTTTGTGCTTTATAAAGAATATTTCATAAAAAATTGGATGTGAAATACCTGAACGTATAAGAAGTCTGCATGTTGAGCTATATTTACGAATGATGTCCTTATACCGATGATAAAATTTAGTAAATGTTTTGACTAGTTTGTGATATCGAAAACCCTGGTGTAATAATTTTTCAGTAATACATAGATTTCTCTCGTTAAAATCTAAAACATTGTTACATACACGAGCGAATCGTACAAGATATATAAACACTGATCTAAAAATGGATAATTAACGATAGGAAATGCAAAATCATCTCTTTTATCATATATTTTAGTATTAAGCTTTCCATTAATGATATAGATATCAAGATCGAGGAATGGGCAGTGGTTATTGTTAGTATTAGCTTTATTTAAAGTAAGTTCAACAGGATAAATTTCTTTAGTATACATACTGAAATCGTCATTATTGAGAGCCAAAATATCATCCAAATATCTAAAAGTATTATTAAATTTGTGTATCAGATGTTGTTTCGATGGGTCTTTGCTGATTTTTGTCATAAATTGTAACTCATAGCAATACAAAAAAAGGTCCGCAATAAGTGGTGCACAGTTAGTCCCAATTGGAATTCCGATAATCTGACGATATACGGAATCTCCAAAGCGAACAAAAATGTTATCTAGTAAAAATTCAAGGGAATATATAGTATCAAAGCATGTCCAATTGACATAGTTTTTTTGTTTATTGCTACTAAAAAATGACCTAAAAGAGTTTGAACATATATATTCACATTCTGACTTTTTAAATGCCCATTTAATTAGGTGTGTGAATTTTTTCTTAATGAGAATGTGAGGCAATGTGGTATATAGGGTAGAAAAATCAAAACTTTGAACAGATTCAAAATCACCAATATATGCATGTAATTTATCAAGTACTTCCAACGAGTTCTTGACACTCCAAAAGTAATTCAGTGTTCTCACTAAGGATTTTTGAAAGGGAGTCCAGGGACTCCTCGTGTTTTGCCATGGTGAGTCCAACAGTGAGAAGATGGAATTTTATTGCTATATCTTTTATTATTTCAGTCCCCATGACAAAATAGTGCCTTTCAACTTTTCAAATTCAAAGATACAATGTAACTTGAAAAAAAGTGTCTTGTAATTTAGGCTTGACCTACGTCAGATAAATGAATATATTTTTAACGTGTAAATTTTACGGCCATAATTTGAAATGGCTGAAATTCTTTAGTTACAGAGATAAACAGGGGAATTTACCCACTCAAAATATACATGATATGTATCTTCATAACAAATACAATAGAATGGTAAGTATCTTGTATCCTAAACCACTGACTAGATTTCAATAAAAATTTACACATGTTACACAGAACATCTATTACATGTTCATACTGTAATGAACAGGTTATCATTGTACAATATACATCTACATGTACATACATATCAGTAAACTTATAATATTATTAAATTATATTATTTTTCAGTCGTTTAATGGCATTGAAGAGAATGGGAATTGTTGATGATTATGAGGTAAATAAGAATTATATTACCATGGAAACAAACATTTCAATTACCACAAAATTTTATTGATATTTATTAGTCATGTTAGTTTCACTATACCTTTAATTATCCTGAAATCAAGTAATTTTGTTATACAGTACATCTTAAAAAGATACATGAATTTATGCTACGTTTGTTCACAATATACACAGGGAAATTTCACTCAGATGAAATTCATGTGAATTTCACCTCAAACAAACTTGTATGTGAAACTCACATGAACTAATTTCACTTGAGTCTCATTTGAAACTCAGGTGAATTTCACCATGTTCACGTGAAAATCACATGAATTTCCAAAATAAAGATATTCAAATAACCATCATAACGTAGATCTAAATTTTCGTATTCGATTAAAATCATGAAAATATCTCAATTTTTTTTTTGTAAAGATCAATGGAACTTCATGTGAATCTCAATTCATGTGAAATTAACATGCAAATTTTCATGTGGTTTCATGCATAAGCTCGTTTGAGGTGAATTTGACATGAAATTTTTCATGTGAATTTCACATGAGATACATGTAAAACTCATGTGAGCAAAATTTGCCTACAGGTGTATACATCCTACATTGTATTGTCTATTGTCCTGCTTTTATTAAAATGAGATATAAATCAGGAGATGTGGTAAGATTTCCAATGAGTAACTATCCACACGAGACCAAAGGAGGAAGATGAATTCAAGTCTTGTTTCTTCTTTGCCTTTCTCATTTAAACAGTTGGCAACTAATCATTGCAATTAATCATATATATATCAAATTGAACAAACCATTTGCTCTCTACACATCTTATATTTGTACCTGTACAGACTACAAAACAGAGGAAAATCTGAACAATCATTCCTTTACCATGTTTACTCCTGTTTCTTATAACATTTATAAGCTTATGTAAATACAATATATATATATATATCTGACAATGCATGTTTATTGTGTGTTTATATTTCATGTATAAATAGAGCATCTAAAAAAATAGACCAGAGTTCTTCTAAGAAAAGCATCAGATTGCTACATGTATGAAAAATGATAAAGTATAAAAAAAAACACTTATATAATTTATACGTCTAAGAAGTATACAACAACCATGACAACTCCAAAAATAAGTGAAATAAGAATATCAAATATATAAATATGCATAAATCAATAAACATTTTAGATAATACATATCCTTCATCAGTATTACTTGAATTGATGGATGTAAATTGAAACCAAGGAATATTATATTTCAAAGAAAAAGATCCTGAATCTCGTCCTAAGTGATCATCATTTGACAAATGACAAACATTCTTTGTGATCTGCAATCTTATTCATAAAACAGCTCTATCATAGATACTTAGTATTAACAGTATTACTGTATTCTGTGATGATTTTTTTTCTCTCCAGAAAATACGAGATTATACAGTGGCAGTTGTTGGGGTTGGAGGAGTAGGATCTGTGGCTGCTGAAATGTTAACTAGATGTGGCATAGGGAAGGTTAGTTGTTAAATGTTAACTAGATGTGACATAGGAAAGGTTAGTTGTTTAATGTCAACTAGATGTGGCATAGGGAAGGTTAGTTGTTAAATGTTAACTAGATGTGACATAGGGAAGGTTAGTTGTTAAATGTTAACTAGATGTGACATAGGGAAAGTTAGTTGTTAAATGTTAACTAGATGTGGCATAGGGAAGGTTAGTTGTTAAATGTTAACTAGATGTGACATAGGGAAAGTTAGTTGTTAAATGTTAACAAGATGTGGCATAGGGAAGGTCAGTTGTTAAATGTTAACTAGATGTGACATAGGGAAGGTTAGTTGTTAAATGTTAACAAGATGTGGCATAGGGAAGGTCAGTTGTTAAATGTTAACTAGATGTGACATAGGGAAGGTTAGTTGTTAAATGTTAACAAGATGTGGCATAGGGAAGGTCAGTTGTTAAATGTTAACTAGATGTGGCATAGGGAAGGTCAGTTGTTAAATGTTAACTAGATGTGGCATAGGGAAAGTTAGTTGTTAAATGTTAACTAGATGTGACATAGGGAAGGTTAGTTGTTAAATGTTAACTAGATGTGACATAGGGAAGGTGAGTTGTTAAATGTTAACTAGATGTGACATAGGGAAGGTGAGTTGTTAAATGTTAACTAGATGTGGCATAGGGAAAGTGAGTTGTTAAATGTTAACTAGATGTGGCATAGGGAAAGTGAGTTGTTAAATGTTAACTAGATGTGGCATAGGGAAAGTGAGTTGTTAAATGTTAACTAGATGTGGCATAGGGAAAGTTAGTTGTTAAATGTTAACTAGATATGACATAGGGAAGGTTAGTTGTTAAATGTTAACTAGATGTGGCATAGGGAAGGTTAGTTGTTAAATGTTAACTAGATGTGACATAGGGAAAGTGAGTTGTTAAATGTTAACTAGATGTGACATAGGGAAAGTGAGTTGTTAAATGTTAACTAGATGTGACATAGGGAAAGTGAGTTGTTAAATGTTAACTAGATGTGGCATAGGGAAGGTTAGTTGTTAAATGTTAACTAGATGTGGCATAGGGAAAGTTAGTTGTTAAATGTTAACTAGATATGACATAGGGAAAGTTAGTTGTTAAATGTTAACTAGATGTGGCATAGGGAAGGTTAGTTGTTAAATGTTAACTAGATGTGACATAGGGAAAGTGAGTTGTTAAATGTTAACTAGATGTGACATAGGGAAGGTTAGTTGTTAAATGTTAACTAGATGTGGCATAGGTAAAGTTAGTTGTTAAATGTTAACTAGATGTGACATAGGGAAGGTTAGTTGTTAAATGTTAACTAGATGTGACATAGGGAAAGTTAGTTGTTAAATGTTAACTAGATGTGACATAGGGAAAGTGAGTTGTTAAATGTTAAATAGATGTTGCATAAGGAAGGTTAGATAGGAGGCTTTATTCTTTAAAAGCAAATGATAATAATAATATTAATATACAAAGATATATATAATAATATAAGTCCACTAACCAGGGATACTGACTTTTTATACGCCTGTTTACGGGACGTATTATGGTATACCGTTGTCCGTCTGTCCGTCCGTCCGTCTGTCCGTCGTCAACATGTCGGACATTAACTCAAAAATGCTTTAACCAATTTGCATAAAACTTTGGTGAATTGTTTATATCTATTGACGTGAGCTCCCTTTCGTTTTTTATAAAATTTAGATTTTACATTTCCGAGTTATGGGGGTTTTTATTCATTAAAAAAGGGGGATTTTCCAGTTTTCGGACAATAAGTCAAGAATGCTTTCACCAACTTGCAAGCAAGTGTGGTGAATTGGTTATATCTATTGACATGAGTTCCCTTTTGATTTTTATAAATTTTAGATTTTATTTTTTTTTGAGTTACAGGGTTTTATTCATAAAAAAAGGGGGGATTTTCCAGTTTTCTGACCATAACTTAAGAATACTTTCACCAACTTGCAAGAGATTGTGGTGAATTCTTTATATCTATTGACATGAGCTCCCTTTATAAAAATTTTAGATTTTACTTTTCCGAGTTACAGGGTTTTATTCATAAAAAAGGGGGGATTTTCCAGTTTTCAGACAAAAACTCAAAAATGCTTTCAGCAATTCTTATGAAACTTTGGTTAATTGTTTGTATGAATTGATGTAAGCTCCCTTTAGAATTTTATAAATTTTACATTTTACATTTCTGAGTTATGGGGTTTTATTCATTAAAAAAAGGGGTGATTTTCCAGTTTTCGGACAATAACTCAAAAATGCTGTCACCAATTCTCATGAAACTTTGGTGAATTGTTTATATTTCTTGATGTAAGCTCCCTTTTTTTTTTCATAACTTTCGAATATGACATTGAGAATTAATTGAACGTTATTTGTTTATAGTCTGACAACAGATTTACTAAGTATTGCACAACAGCAAAGAAATCTTTAATTGAATATAAATTCAATTCATATAACCAATTTCAAGTTCTTTGACTACATTTATTCAGAAACCTATAATATGTCAAATATTTAATTACAATTGAAAGTGGCGTTAAACACCAATCAATCAATCAATCAATCATTATTGCAGGAATTCATGATTTACAGTTATCAAAAATTATATCTCTATTTTCAGTTATTACTGTTTGATTACGACAAGGTAGAGTTAGCCAACATGAACAGATTATTCTATCAACCAAATCAAGCTGGAATGAGTAAAGTAGAAGCAGCTGAGAGAACATTAAGGTAAAGACATTTACATGAGGGTCTGGATGGGGGGCCTTAGTTTCATTATTGAACTATTCTTTAAATTTTCAGGATATTTTTCTTTTCTTTTTACTGTAAATCTTTAATAAAAATAATTTTACTATTAAAATTTTCTGTAATTAGGCATGTTAGTTAATTTCTTTATTCTGTACATGGTTCACTTCTGTAATCAGCATGGTATTACCTATTTTTTAAAATTTTCCACAGTTATTCTCCATACTTTTGCTAACACAAAGGTAAAGACACTTATAAGATACTGTAGATTCATTTATTTTCATGGATTGAGGAAAAGTCATGGATATTTTATTTCATGGTTTTGTTTAAATCTGCATACAAGGTTTAACTTTACCAACAAAATCCACAAAAATTGGTATTCCACAAATAATTATAGTAAGTGGATTCAGTATAAAAATCGGTAGATTGCCAATTCAATGAGACAACTATCCACTAGAACTGATGATTAGGCAATTATAGGTCTCTATGTCCTTCAACAATGAGCAAAACCCATACTTACAGTCATCTTTAAAAGGCCCTGACATGACAGTTGTTAAAACAATTGAAACAGGAAAACCAAAAGCCCTTTATTCACAAAAACAATAAATGTAAAACGAATTCAATATAGGGGGTCTCATTGGGGGGTTCTGATCCCGGATCCCGCTTACTGTTTTGTCAGATTCCCGTATCCCGCTTACACTATGTACGTAAGCAATTCTGATTTTTTTTCTAATTTCCCGTATCCCGCTAGACTTCATTTCCCGTTTTCACGGCACAATAATTTTGACTTTCACGTGTCACGCTTACAAAAAATCGACAATCCCGCGTCACGCTTAGACCCCAATGAGACCCACAATATACCACAACCAACAACCTCTGAATTACAGGATTCTGTCTTGGGACAAGCACATACAGAATGTGACCAGGTTGAAGGTGTTAGTGAGCACTCAACCCTCAGTAATTTGGGAAAGGAATGAGGGTTTTGTTTAAAGGGGCGATGTGTTTATAAAAGAAAAAGACAAAATCTTGAAACAGTCATATTCTTAGAGGAAAAGAAAATTTCTTATTTTCAAAGTAAAGAACAAATTAGTATACTATAGACATATTTATATAATAAAGCTGAGAAAATTCTACTATTCAGACTTTATTAACATGGGTGTGATCTTACGGCAGAAATCGACAGTACATAAATGTTATGGTCACCATCACAAATTGGTTGATCATTTAAATTTATGATTTACCTATGTCCACTAAATCCCAGAAAATTGGTACCTCAAGAATAATAATGAATTTACAGTGTTATATCTCATTAGTATTATATTGTCCTGTACATGCATGTAATATTTGCCACTGGCAGTATTTCCCGAAGGTCTTTCAAACCTTACCAGATATTTGTTCCAGTTAATGTGGGACTCCACTGGACCAAAGACCATTTTTACCAGTCATTTTGTTATTATTTATATAAAAAATTCTGAATATATACTGAACATTTGGTCCAGTTGAGCAACAACTTTTATCGGACCAAACTCAATTTAACCAGTCATTTCCCAATGTCGGATGGGCCTTCAGAATGCCTGCACTGGACTTAATTAGGCCATAAATCAACTGTATATTTTCTTTTAAAGGGAGATAAATCCAGATGTCATATTTGAGATATATAATTACAACATCACAACAATGGATAACTTCCAACATTTTATGGACAGAATAAGCCATGGTGGGATAACAGATGGAAAACCAGTTGATCTGGTACTCAGTTGTGTTGATAACTTTGAAGCTAGGATGACAATTAATACTGTAAGTCACGGTAACTAGTAGATGGAAAATAATAAATGAGTACATCTTCATAATCATTCCATACAGAATTACAAAGAAAAATATTACTTATAGAAATAATCATTAGTATTTTTTGTAGGATGGAATTATGCTAGTTGAGAACTGGTTGTAGTCTAGTAACTTTTGTTATCTGTTATAAGCCTCTAATGGAAACAAAATAGGCCAGGGCCTATGGTCATACCACTTTACTCAGTGCTCAGAGTACAAAATTTGTGCTCTAAACATCAAATGGAGTATTTTGATTAGTTGAATTCCGAGTCTGAGTACAATAATCGAACTCCAAATGTTTATGACCGCAAGGCCAGGGCTTGATAATGCAAGGTATTGTTTTCTGGTAACCTTTTTCTTTTGTAGGCATGTAATGAATTAGGCCAGTCTTGGATAGAGTCAGGAGTGAGTGAGAATGCTGTCTCTGGTCACATACAGTTTATAGTACCTGGTGACACTTCATGTTTTGCTGTAAGTATGAATAAAACTTAAAAATTAAAAAAACGAATACCAATGAAAATTTCTGTCGGAACTCTTTTATCACATTTATGAGTGAATATTCTTTGGAAGTGAATTATTGTCACAGTATTTATTTAAGGAATAACTAATATTTTTTTCTGTTTCTGAAGAAATAACATAAAAAAAATGTTGCACAAGGAATAACCAGCATAATTTAATTTTGGATAACACGTCTTCTGATTGGCTGAAATTTTTTTGTCTATCAGCTCATAGACATATTCTTGTCATGTGACCGTGACGTTATCAATGTTTTTCCATGAATTACTCCTTAAACATGGAATTTAGAATTAAATTATAAGAAATGAATAATATATTTTTTATGCCTATTTGAAATAACCTCAAAATTTTGTGCACTTTTAAATAATCCACTATGGTTATTGTATTTCAGTGTGCCCCACCTCTAGTTGTAGCCACACACACAGATGAGAAGACATTAAAAAGAGAAGGTGTATGTGCTGCTAGTCTGCCAACCACTATGGCAATTGTAGCTGGTTTCTTAATACAGAACACATTAAAGTAAGTGTACATTTATTGTCTATACTACTAGTCTGCCAACCAGTATGGCAATTGTAGCTGGTTTCTTAATACAAAACACTTTAAAGTAAGATATCCCGATCTGAATTCCTTGGAGGGATACAAATCCCTAGGAGTAATTACACGAAAAAACAAACGGTAGTAAGTAAAATCTGGATCTGATTCCCGCGGAGGATTATGCTCCATGGGATTTGGATCCAGATTGTGCTAATGAATTGCACTAAACAAATTGTAATCCTTGAGGTTCGGATCCATCCACTTGATCCACTGATTTAAGATCAGGATACCGGTGTGAGTTATTTCTTACATTACTATATAAAAATAAAGAGATGTGGTATGATTGCCAGTGAGACCACTATCCTGCAGATTTCAAATGACGTGGATATAAGCAATTATGGTTCAATGTATGGCCTTTATAAAAGTAAGGAGATGTGGTATGATTGCCGATGAGTCAACTATCCACCAGAGTTTAAATGAAGTGAATGTAACCAATTATAGGCATCTGTACAGCGTGCAATAATGAGAAAAACTCATACCGAAAAGTCGGTTATAAAAGGCCCCGATATGGCCTAGTCTATATAAAAAAATTCGTAAGGGTTCCGCGGAACCCAGTGTCTCGCCTACTTTTGGTGTTAATCGCAGGCTCAACAAAAATGAGGAAAAAAATTAATAAAAATATTCCCCTCTATACTATGTTTTGATTGTAAGTAGCTTCTGTCCAAGTTTGGTAAAAATCCAGGATAATTTATGAATCTAATAAATGTTTTAAAAACTTAAACTGCAGAATGTATGTAATGTTGACTGGAAGAAAAACTAAGTCCATTTATAAGTAAAATACAGAAAAAATGGAACAAAATTTTATCAAAATTTCCTTCTAGATACTAGCTTTTGATCATAAACAAGCTTCTGTCCAAGTGTGGTACAAATCCAGGATAGTTTAAGAAAGTTGTTAAAATTTTAAAAACTTTAACCACAGAGTGAATGTAATGTTAACTGGCAGAAAAACTAAGTCCATTTATAAGTAAAATACAGAAAAATGGAATTTTTTTTTTACAAAATTTACTTCTGGATACTATCTTATGATCATAAACAAGCTTCTTTCCAAGTTTGGTATAAATCCAGGATAGTTTAAGAAAGTTATTAAAATTTCAAAAACTTTAACCACAGAGTGAATGTAATGTTTCCTGGCAGAAAAACTTAAGTCCATTTATAAGTAAAATACGGAAAAATGGATTTTTTTTTTTACAAAATTTACTTCTGGATACTATCTTATGATCATAAACAAGCTTCTTTCCAAGTTTGGTAGAAATCTAGGATAGTTTAAGAAAGTTATTGAAATTTTAAAAACTTTAACCACAGAGTGAATGTAATGTTAACTGGCAGAAAAACTAAGTCCACTTACAAGTAAAATACGGAAAAAATGGAATTTTTTTTTTACAAAATTTACTTTTGAATATAATCTTATGATCATAAACAAGCTTCTGTCCAAGTTTGGTAGAAATCCAGGATAGTTTAAGAAAGTTATTAAAATTTCAAAAACTTTAACCACAGAGTGAATATTTGTGGACGCCGCCGCCGACGACGACGACGACGACGCCGACGGAATGTAGGATCGCTATGTCTCGCTTTCTCGACAAAAGTCGAAGGCTCGACAAAAACATATAGAAAATACGAAAATCACTGTAAAAAAATGCACTGAAGTCGATTAAAAAGGGCTAAATATTAAATTAAGTATCTACAAAAATAAATTGATTTACAGAAAGCATACAGACATTGTATGTGTATCTTTTTCTAAATATCAAATTTCTCCTTTCAGGTATTTATTAAAATTTGGTAATGTGACCTACTATTTAGGATATAATGCTTTACAAGACTTCTTCCCAATGATGGCAATGAAACCCAACCCTGAATGTGATGACTGTAATTGTAGAAAACAACAAGTAGAATTTAAGGTATTTATTACATACGGTAAATTCAGAGATTGATGTGATGTGAGAAAGTATGAGAAACATGAGAGAAAAAGGTAAAATAACAAAAAAACTGAACTCCAAGGAAAATTCAAAACGGAAAGTCCCTTATCAAATGGCAAAATCAAAAGCTCAATCACATCTAATGAATAGAAAACAACTGTCATATTCCTGACTTGGTACAGGCATTTCCTTATTTAGAAAATAGGGGATTAAACCTGGTTTTATAGCTAGCAGACAGAGAATATTTGCCATTATGCTTTCATACATTCCCTATCTAAATACAGGTATATGAAAGAATAATTTAAAGTGTTTAATATTATTTCTTCCATGCAATTTATTATCTCCCTTGGTTTAAAGTAAATGATACTTTAAAAGTTTCTTAATGTTTTTTGTTTGTTTTGTTTTTCTCTAGAAAAGAGAAGCATTGAAGCCCAAACCTGTAGTTGTTGAAGAAGTAGAGACTGCACCTTTACATGATGAGAATCCATTTGGTAAGGCAATACCATAAGGCAGTCAATGAACATTAACAAAAGTCATATGTAATTGGGCTCATTGTTGAAGGCCGTACAGTGACCTATAGTTGTACATTTCTGTGTCATTTGGTCTCTTGTGAAGAGTTGTCTCATTACTACATACTAGAGTTCAGGGTTTGAAAATATCTGCACACAAGCCTATAGGAATGTAAGAAATTAATATTTTGTTGGATCATTTGAATTCTTGGGTTACCTATACCAAAGAAATTAATGTAAATTAGTATCTAATGAATAACAATGGATTCAAAATAAATATATGCTGTAATTTAGATAAAAAATAATAAATTTATTTTATTAAGGATGTTTGCTTCTCTGTTTCAAAATAACAAGCTTTTTAAAAGACTGTTATAAATTGATAGTATATAAATAAACTAAAAATTAAGGGTCCGTGTGGTTATTTTCAAGATATAAGCCATTGAAAAATTGGCTGGAAATAATTCTCTCTAGATTTTTCATACATTTAACATTGGCACCTTTTTTTCTTTCAAAAACGATGAAAAAATAACAAGGATTTTATAAGATTTTCAAAGATGACTTTTTAAACTATATGTTATCAAATTATGGAAAGAAAAGTAGGGGTTAGTGGACAAAATTTTTAATGGCACTACATGCATAAAACCAGAGGATTCCAAATATCTGGCAAAATTACAAAAACAAGAGGAGCGAACATCCTTAAATAGGAGATGTGGGGCATACATTAATGAGATAGCTATGTTTATCTACAATTTTTAAGATGTGAGCTGCGTCGGATAAAAATCAATCTTATGCAAATGAATATCAATACATCTGTTAACCTAATTCGTGTTGAAAAAATCTCTATGCAATGTCTGTAACTGTTTGAAAATTGAGTTGATATAAGAACCCTACAAAACAGATCATAATTCATCTTTTATTTTTGAGTTTGTATGGTGCAAAATTATTCAGTCATAAGTCGAAAAGAAAAATACAACCCCATGGCAAGATACACAAGACAACGAAAAGTTAAACAAAAAGAGGGGTGAAAGACACAAGAGGGACAGTCAAACTCACAGATCGAAAAAAAAACTGACAACGCCATGGCTAAAAAATAAAAAGACAAAGCAATACATAAAACACTTAAGACTGAGCAACACGAACCACACAAATAACTGGGGGTGATCTCAGGTGCTCCAGAAGGTTAATTGGATCCTTCTTCGTTAGTGATACCCATCATATTGCTCATGGTAAGTCTAGAATCCAGTTAGTAATTACGGAAACTTATTTATACCTTATCTTGCAATTTTTGTGTTTATTTACAGAAATAGAAATTGTCTCAGAAACAACAGAGGAGGAATTAAAGCAGGCTGAAGGAGAGAAACCTCAGCTAACAGAAGGGGTCACTGTAGCATACACAAAACCAGCCAAATCATCAACAAATGTAGGTTTGGATAAACAATGAGCTGATTTATCATGTTTATGATCAAGATTCTTTAGGCAGTATTAAAGGGTATTCAATTAAGAATTGAATGCTTCTTTTGTAAATTCATTGGGGTGTAAAAGTGTTGACCGAAGTACATTTTGAATGAAGCTCGGAAGCGCTTCATTCTTACTATCAAGTTTTTATACGACCGCAAAAAAATTTTGTGGTCGTATATTGGTATGACGTTGGCGTCGTCGTCGTCGTCGTCGTCGTCGTCTGGCGTCGTCCGGCGTCGTCCGAAGACACATTGGTTTTCGCACTCTATTTTTAGTTTAAGTGAATGGATCTTTTTGAAATTTGACCATAAGGTTAAATTCCACAAAAGGAAGGTTGGGATTGATTTTGGGGGTTATGGTACCAACAGTTAAGGAATTAGGGGCCAAAAAGGGGCCAAAAATAAGCATTTTCTAGTTTCCAGACAGTAACTGTGGAACGGTGTATGGATCTCTCTGAAATTATACTACAAGTTTCCATACCACAAAGGGATGGTTAGGATTTGCTTTGGGGGGATATGGCTCAAACCGTTTAGGAATTAGGGGCAAAAAAGGGGGAAAAACAAGGTTGTCCTGGTTAATGGACAAATACTTTAATACAAAACATAATTTAAAGCAGTGTAAGGGAGATAAATCAAATACATCATTGAAATTATCTCCCTTACACTGCTTTTAAATTATGTATAAAGTAATGGTTAATGAACAATAAAGATAATTTAAAACAGTGTAAGGGAGGTAATCCAAATACAACGTTTTGGTTACTTCCCTTAAACTGCTTTTAAATTATGTTTAAAGAAATGCATATTTATAAAGGAAGACCAGTAAAAATATCTGCAAATGTTGCATCTTTTTTTTTACAAAAAAATCCATATGAAAGATTTGACACTATATTTTTAATTCTATTATAAAATAGATTAAGTTAGCACTATGGTAAATTTAAATGGGTAATTATGGTTGCCAACTCCATTGGAAATTTGAATTGAGATTATGACGATATCTTCAGGGAAAGAATTTTTTGGGGAAAAAAAGGGGGGGGATAAAGAAATTGGGGGGGGGGGGGGGGGGGGGGGGTCAATTTTTTCTCATTTCAGATTTCAGAAATTAAAAAGAATTATTCTTCAAATATTATTTTTTTTTCAAATTTCAAATATTGAAAAATTTCAAGAAGTAATCTTTAATTGCACAGTATGGCACATTAGATTTGTAAAATCTTTGATCACATTTATTTATTTGTTATGCCGAATCTAACAGTGTATTTAGATTTTTAATTTTGGGTCCAGTTTTCAAATTGGTCTACATTAAGGTCCAAAGGGTCCAAAATTAAACTTTGTTTGATTTTAGCAAAAATTGAATATATGAGGTTCTTTGATATGCTGAATCTAAACATGTATTTAGATTTTTGATTTTTGGCCCAGTTTTCAAGTTGGTCCAAATTGGGGTCCAAAATTAAACTTTGTTTGATTTCAACAAAAATTGAATATATGGGGTTCTTTGATATGCTGAATCTAACCATGTATTTAGATTTTTTATTTGTAGACCCCGTTATCAAATTGGTTCATATATATATTGAGGTCAAAAGGGTCCAAAATTAAACTTTGTTTGATTTCATCTAAAATTGAATTATTGGGGTTCTTTGATATTCCAAATCTAACAGTGTATTTAGATTTTTAATTTTGGGTCTTGTTTTTTAAATTGGTCTACATTAAGATCCAAAGGGTCCAAAATTAAACTTAGTTTGATTTTAACAAAAATTGAATTCTTGGGGTTCTTTGATATGCTGAATCTAAACATGTGTTTAGATTTTTGATTATGGGCCCAGTTTTCAAGTTGGTCCAAGATAGGGTCCAGTATTTAAACTTTGTTTGATTTCAACAAAAATTGAATATATGAGGTTCTTTGATATGCTGAATCTAAGGGGCCAAAAGGGGCCAAAAATAAGCATTTTTGTAACTTCCAGACATAACTTGTGTGTAAGTGTATGGATTTCTCTGACATTGTACCACAAGGTTCCATATCACAAAGGGAATGCTGGGATTGATTTTGGGGGTAATTGTCTCCAAATTTTAGGAATTAGGGGCCAAAAAGGGGCAAAAAACAAGCATTTTTCTAGTTTCATGACAATAACTTGTTTGTAAGTGTATGGATCTTTATGAAATTGTACTACAAGGTTCCATATCACAAAGGGAATACTGGGATTGATTTTTGGGGTAATTTCCTCCAAATATTAGGAATTAGGGGCCAAAAAGGGGCAAAAAACAAGCATTTTTCTAGTTTCATGACAATAACTTGTTTGTAAGTGTATGGATCTTTATGAAATTGTACTACAAGGTTCCATATCACAAAGGGAAGGCTGGGATTGATTTTGGGGGTTTTCCCTCAAAATTTTAGTAATTAGGGGCCATAAAAGGGCAAAAAAAACATGCATTTTTCTAGTTTCAGGACAATAACTTGTGTGTAAGTGTATGGATCTTTATGAAATTGTACTGCAAGGTTCCATATCACAAAGGGAAAGCTGGAATTGAGTTTGGGGGTAATTGCCCTAAACGTTTAGGAATTTGGGGTCAAAAAGGGGCCAAAAAACAAGCATTTTTCTAGTTTCCAGACAATAACTTGTGTTCAAGTGTATGAATCTCTCTGAAATTGTACTGCAAGGTACCATACCACAAAGGGAAAGCTGGGATTGAGTTTGGGGGCGATGAATCATAAGGGGGTTCAAAAAATTGGGGGGGGGGGGGGGGAATTTTTTTGTTCCTTTTTTTTCTTTAACATTTTCCATTTTAAATTGGTTATTTCTGATTTATATATAAAAGCAAATAATAATGATATGGTTTGAATAGGCATACATGTGAACCTCCCGACGGGAGTACAATAATCCCGTTTTCAGGGGTCTCCTCCCGACCTCCCGTTGAAAAAATCCCGTGTATGAAATTTTTCATGAATGAAAAATTTCTGCCCAACATAACATCTCAGGCATCTGGTGTAACTGACATTACCTGAAGTTATATCTTACCTGTAAATCAATTTATATGCATAATTATATGGCTTCACTTGTCAGCTTGGGTGTCAAACATACTGGTGAACAACGATTTTTACCTCAGGCTAACTGCCGTTGTGTAACAAAAACTGTGTATTTATTGGGTTACTTCCCTTGATTTATCCTGTTTTAAGTTACTTTCCTTTTAATAATGAAAATTTTTAAAAGAATATAAATAAAATATAAATTGAACAAATAATCATAAAAGGATGGTTATTAAATGATTTTAAATGTCTTAGGACAAATAAAAAAATAATAATTTGAAAATTATTTGAGGATTCTATACTTCCTTTTAAGGCTTAAATTGAAATTTATATAATAACTATGACCCTAACTTTACAGATAGAATGAATTTCTGAGTTTGCAAATAAAAACTATTTGCAAGAGAAAAAATAAAAAAATAAAAACTATTTGCAGACAGCTAAACAAATGTTCTGGTTGCAATGATTGTTTTATAGAATATGAAGTAAAAAATTTAAAGAACATACTGGAAAAAAACAATGTTAGATTGAACATGTAGAATATAAAGATGGAGAAACTTTATAAGTACAAGGGTACTATAAACATAATAAATTGGTTGGAAAGTTAAAGAAAACACACTTTAAAAGACCATTTTTACAGCACACGGTTACATTTACAACAAAATTAATGTTGATTAAAAACCTCCTGATCTGAGTCCTAATCTCCTGACCAAAATTTCCCAATCTCCTGATCTGAGTTTCACAGTCCATCACATGTATGAATAGGTAAATTGAAAATTTTTAAGTTCTTAAACCACTTTCATTCTGTGTCAGAAACCTATGCTGTGTCAAATATTTAATTACAATCCAAATTCAGTGCTGTATCAAGCTTGAATGTTGTGTCCATACTTGCCCCAACTGTTCAGGGTTCGACCTCTGCGGTCGTATCAAGCTGCGCCCCAGCGGAGCATTTTATTGATTATGGGCCCAGTTTTCAAGTTGGTCCAAATTGGGGTCCAAAATTAACTTTGTTTGATTTCAACAAAAATTGAATATATGAGCTTCTTTGATATGCTGAATCTAACCATGTATTTAGATTTTTTATTTGTGGGCCCCGCTATCAAATTGGTTCATATTGAGGTCAAAAGGGTCCAAAATTAAACTTTGTTTGATTTCATCAAAAATTGAATTATTGGGGTTCTTTGATATGCCAAATCTAACCGTGTTTTTAGATTTTTAATTTGGGTCCCGTTTTTTAAATTGGTCTTCATTGAGGTCCAAAGTGTCCAAAATTAAAGATAGTTTGATTTTAGCAAAAATTGAATTCTTGGGGTTCTTTGATATGCTGAATCTAAACATGTGTTTAGATTTTTGATTATGGGCCCAGTTTTCAAGTTTGTCCAAGTTGGGGTCCAAAATTAAACTTTTTTTGATTTCAACAAAAATTGAATATATGGGGTTCTTTGATATGCTGAATCTAACCTTGAATTTAGATTTTGTATTTGTGGGCCCGCTATCAAATTGGTTCATATTGAGGTCAAAAGGGTCCAAAATTAAACTTTGTTTGATTTCATCAAAAATTGAATTATTGGGGTTCTTTGATATTCCAAATCTAACCGTGTATGTAGATTTTTAATTTTAAGTCCCAATTTTTAAATTGGTCTACATTAAGGTCCAAAGGGTCCAAAATTAAACTTAGTTTGATTTTAGCAAAAATTGAATTCTTGGGGTTCTTTGATATGCTGAATCTAAACATGTGTTCAGATTTTTGATTATGGGCCCAGTTTTCAAGTTTGTCCAAGTTGGGGTCCAAAATTAAACTTTGTTTGATTTTAACAAAAATTGAATATATGCGGTTCTTTGATATGCTGAATCTAACCATGTATTTTGATTTTGGACATTGGACCATAATAGGTAAATTAAAAAAATTCAAGTTCTTAGACTACATTCTTTCTGTGTCAGAAACCTATGCTGTGTCAAATATTTAATAACAATCCAAATTCAGAGCTGTATCAAGCTTGAATGTTGTGTCCATACTTGCCCCAACTGTTCAGGGTTCGACCTCTGCGGTCGTATCAAGCTGCGCCCCAGCGAAGCATTTTATTTCTTTTATTTACCTGTGCATTTTATTGTGGAAACATGTGTCATCATGTATGATTCAATTCATGCAATTCATTTTGAAATGAAGAATGACGCAAGATTGCTGTTAGCCAATTAAAATAACGTATAATAATGAAACATACATCTAATGTAATTATTTAGAAATATAAACCTGTAAAGCATACACAATTTGAGCATTGAAAAATTTATAGACTTAAAGTAGATAATGTTCCGAAAATGCAATAATTAATCTAGCATTATTGTTCATGCTTCAAAAAGCAAATCTCAAAGTCAAAGAGAGACAGACAAAATCATGCAAAAAATAAAAACAATGACTAATGAAAAGATAATAAAATAGTAAGTAGAGATGAAAGAATATTTACTGAGCAGCACAAGAAGGTCTGGATGGGGTTTTCAGAATAGAAAATAATGGTTAAAAAAAATAAAGAGAAAAATGGACCCAAAAAAATTTTAAAAAGAGAATAATAGGTTGCTAAAATATAAAGAATAGATTAAAATAGCTTGAAAATTGAATATAGAAACCCCTCACCCCTATCCTCGCACAATTTGCCATCATAACACTATAGTTTTCATATTTAGATTGAATTGATAGATCTAGACATACAAAGATCTTATATCATCAACAAATTTTCATATGACAAAAAATACAAGTTCTGACTTGGGAAAAAATACACATACATTATGTAAATTCAAATATGGATTTGTCTTTTTCTTGTTGTAGGACACATCAGAAACAGTAGGAGATGTTTCCGGGCAAAGTTTGGACGAGTTAATGAAACAGATGCAAAGTTTGTGATGTTCATGTTGTGATAAAGTCTTTGAATACATTTTAAAATTATGCTAAAACATTAATTTTACATGTGAAGAAATACGAGCTATTTCTAAAGTATTAAAGCAATACTAGTCAAGACATGCAAAGATATGTGCCATTCTGGAAAGACAGGAGCTGCAGACCTGGAAATGAGTTGTCTGCCCTTTGTTTCTTTATTCCATTATAAAAGAAAACAACAATATTGTAAAACAATTAATATAAATTCATTGCAGTTTTAGTGGCCTTCGGCTGTTGTCTGCTCTATGGTCGGGTTGTTGTCTCTTTGACACATTCCCCATTTCCATTCTCAATTTTATTAGTATAAGCATTATGTTACAGATTTTTATAGTACCGGTAAATGTTTCTATAATCGAGAAACTTTCTACTGGACATTTATAGTTTTAGATTGTTTGGCTAAAGATTTAATGTTAAAGGGGCACTAGCTGTCAAATTCATGTTTACCGATTTGACTTAAATTCTCATATTTGATTTATAACATTGAATCTTATCAGTCAACGAAATGGTTAATCTTTGTTTCACTTTCAATGTTGACATTCTTTTCCTTTAAATGGCTGACCACGATTTATACATGTGTAACCAATCTTTAGCTATTGGGTTAAATTGAAGGTCACATGAATACGAATTCAATGAGGTCGAATTATTCACTTGCAAGTGAATAATTCATCAGCAATGTTTCTTTGCTTATTTTGACAAAATTGAACCAAATTGTTTGCTAAAAACGAATTATTATTTCATCATTTCACTTATATTAATGATTGAACCAAACAAAATCATATTCTATTTTTTTTTTCATATCTCGTAGCTAGTGCCACTTTAATTTTTGGTTATTTCAACTGTGATCATTGGTGTTGACAGGACAGTCAGTAACAGTGTATTTAAAAATTCTTATATTCAATAAATATATGAAATATCATTCTTATGTGTTTGTATTTTTTGTTTGTATACTTTATTGGCAATAATTGTCTTTTGCAGAGATGTTTTGTAAAATTGACACATATTCTGAAGTATTTTTACAAATTAGTTGTAGATAAAGAAGTTAGGGAATGTAAAAATGTTTTCTGTTAGATGACATGATTGCATTATTAAGAGGTACGGTACACGATTTATCCATAGACTTTTAACAAGTACCAATCCTAATGTCTTGCTCCACCTTTTCAAAATCCTGGATCAGCACCTGATGGGTACTTGCTGTGCTCTTTGTTAAATATTGATGGATTGATAGTTGATTGCTTAATGTCCAATGGCTTAAATTTCATGCATGTATAGGGCGACTTGTTGATGACACTATCTTCTTATAAACAATATGGTGAACTTGCCAAATGTAGTCGAGTGGTGTCCCATTGACCTATTCCATGCACAACCCTTCTACCAACATGAGAGTGTGGAAGGGATTTACAGAATAGAGAATAATTGGGGGAAATAATAAAGAAAAGATAAAAATGAGCAAAAAAAAAAAAGAATGGAGAATAATGGGGTGCTTAAATATAAAGAATAACTGCAAAAATTCAAGAATTGGGTGAAAATATACTGATTACAGAAAAGAACAATGTCCAGAATACAGTTATCAAGTAATTACAGAATAGCCATTATTCTGAAAGAAAAAGAATAATGAGCGAGAAAAAATAAAAGAATACAGAAATAAAGGACCCACAACCCATACTCTCCAACATGTCAACGGCTCTGTACAATGATATCCTTATTTTAGAGTTTTCAGATCTATACATTGTTTTAATTATGTGGTTTTTATACGCCCGTTTACCGGACGTATTATGGTATACCGTTGTCCGTCTGTCCGTCTGTCTGTCTGTCCGTCTGTCCGTCCGTCGTCAACATGTCGGACATTAACTCAAAAATGCTTTAACCAATTTGCATAAAACTTTGGTGAATTGTTTATATCTATTGACGTGAGCTCCCTTTCGTGTTTTATAAATTTTAGATTTTACGTTTCCGAGTTATGGGGTTTTATTCATTAAAAAAAGGGGGATTTTCCAGTTTTCGGACAATAACTCAAGAATGCTTTCACCAACTTGCAAGAAATTGTGGTGAATTGTTTATATCTATTGACATGAATTCCCTTTCGATTTTTATATATTATAGATTTTACGTTTCCAAGTTACAGGGTTTTTTTCATAAAAAAAGGGGGATTTTCCAGTTTTCGGACAAAAAATCAAAAATGCTTTCAGCAGTTCTTATGAAACTTTGGTGAATTGTTTATATCTATTGATGTAAGCTCCATTTAGAATTTTATAAATTTTAGATTTTACATTTCTGAGTTATGGGGTTTTATTCATTAAAAAAGGGGGGATTTTCCAGTTTTCGGACAATAACTCAAAAATGCTGTCAGCAATTCTCATGAAACTTTGGTGAATTGTTTATATCTATTGATGTAAGCTCCCTTTACATTTTCATAAATTTCTAATATGACATTGAGAATTAATTGAACTTTATTTGTTTATCATGTTTATAGTCTGACAACAGATTTACTAAGTATTGCGCAACAGCACAGTGTATTGCACAACAGCAAGAAATCTTTAATTGAATATAAATTCAATTCATATAACCAATTTCAAGTTCTTTCACTACATTTATTCAGAAACCTATAATATGTCAAATATTTAATTACAATCCAAATTCAGACCTGTATCAAGCTTGAATATTGTGTCCACTTTTGACCCAACTGTTCAGGGTTGGACCTCTGCGGGCGTATCCAGCTGCGCTCAGCGAAGCAGTTTATTGTTTTACCTGTAACGTCCAGTGGCAAATGGTTCATGCATATTCGGGACAAAAACAAATACAGAACACAAAGATAGGTTCTGCAGAGGGGTAGACCGAAATGAAAGGACTACATATTGAAAAGAGGATATTTTAGACAAGGACACACTTTGCAACATGCCACATACGGGGCCTTAGAGTTTTTACAAATACTCCTGATCATACAGAGTGTCTTGCACTCTTCATACTCTATGCATCGGATTGAACATCTACAGTCCGACTGGACTTGGCAGTGTATTAATACATCCTGCACTGTCAAAACAGATGTCCTCTGTAGACGGTGTTTGTTTTATTTATCGAATGAATATGATACTCACTGTTTCTTAACCAGCAAATCAAGCAATTTAATTATTTTTAGATTTTTTTAGCAATACATTAAGATTATTAAAGCTTGTGATTCAATAATAAACTATTTACAGTGTATAAAGGGGGTCTCATTGGAGCGTTCTGATACCGGATCCCGCTTACTGTTTTTCCAGATTCCCGTATCCCGCTTACACTATGTACGTAGGCAATTCTCACTTTTTTGTAATTTCCCGTGTCCCGCTAGACTTCATTTCCCGTTTTCATAGCACAATAATTTGACTTTCACGTGTCACGCTTACAAACAATCCGCAATCCCGGGTCACGCTTACACCCCAATGAGACCCACTATAAACAAAGTTACTCAAACCTTTCAATACTGATATGTCCTTACAGGTCATTAAACAGCATAATATCTTTTAACATCAAAATCAAATCAAATCAAATTTATTTAAAGTTGGTTAAAAAAAGCATGCAATACAGTAAAACAGAAACCCTTTCCAGCTTTAAAACGGACATAAAGGCGTACTCATGTTAACAAAGTTATTACATGACTTCTTCTACGTGACTTTTAAGTTTGCTTCTTAAAATTAAAAAAACTTCTTTTCAATTTCCAGTTACCAAAAAAATATACAACTATTATTTCTTTGTTCTACCCGAACGGGATCAAGCGTGCTATTCTCATCACTTAGCATCATTCGTCCGTCGTCGTCGTTCGTTAACCTTTATAGAAATCCTCAGAAACAGAGAAACTCCCTGGTCCAAAATGGGACCAAACTTGGCCACATTCATCCGACTGGGGTAACTATCTAGTTTTAAAATATTTTCGATGATCCTACCTGTTAACCAACACGGCCGACATGGCTAAATTAGAACATAAGGGTAAAATGCAAGCTAGTTTTGTATAATATCGTGGAAACTGTTATATGCTCTTCAATCACTTACTTTATTTGCCCTTTTAAAACTTGTTTGATTACGGAGCGCCAATGAAGAGTCTTTTGAAGACGAAACGCGCGTCTGGCGCACAAAATTGTAATCCTGGTATCTTTGATGAGTATAGATCCAGGATATATGACAGGGGCAGATTTTTTCATTATATTGAGATCTGCCTTCTGTCATGAATATCAAACCTGTCAAACGGACAAAAAATAAAATAAAAACTCGAAGTAATGAAAACTTGGACCCCAATTTTGATTTAAAAGAATGTTAAACGTACTCCTTTTTATTTCCATTCATAGGCGCTATTTTACTGGCTCTGGCAAAATAGCGATTCATATGGCAAGCCGTTGTGGAATTTATTCCCTATTTATTAATATAAAAAAAAATATTTATCAATGATTCATATAGTTTTGCTATATGCCGGTCGTATTTCAGATTTTTTTCAGACTAAATGAAATGTTTTTTTTTTATTGAAATCATTGACGTTTACAGGGGCGGGTCCAGGTAAGGGCGAAATAGGCGTACGCACCCCCTTTTCAAAAAAAAAATCGTTATCTGCTTATATTGTATTGAATATGGCAATTTATCATATTCATTAATTAAACACACTCTCTGATTTCTTTTTATACTCATTCCCCCATCCGATGGGTGACTAGGACACCTTTTTAAATCAACCAAAGCGGTCAGTAAATCTATACATGAAATGGTTGTTTTGTGCATGTGACACTTCCCCAATGGCCATTCTACATCTACCTGGGGGATACTCGCTATATATATGATATCGGGTATGTTCCGACAAACGGGGTTGGATTTTCAGCTAAATTGTCTGAAATGGGGTTATATTTTTTCGCCTTGCATTGGAAGGGGTCAGATTTGACTATCTAGAACGGGGTATTATAAATACAATGTTACACTATTGTTTCCGATAAGAGTGAATGTTTGGTACCATTAAACCGTTTAAACCCGCTGCAACTGTTTGCACCTGTCCTAAGTCAGGAATCTGATGTTCAGTAGTTGTCGTTTGTTGATGTGGTTCATAAGTGTTTCTCGTTTCTTATATAGATTAGACCGTTGGTTTTCTCGTTTGAATGGTTTTACACTAGTAGTTTTTGGGGCCTGTTATAGCTTGCTGTTCGGTGTGAGCCAAGGATCCTTGTTGAAGATCGTACTTTGACCTATAATGGTTTACTTTTATAAATTGTGACTTGGATGGAGAGTTGTCTCATTGGCACTCATACCACATCTTTTTATATCTACTAAATTGAAAACAACGTTCAAACCTATGATTGTGTTGGATAAAAACCGCAATTTTTATACGTGTGCATGCAAAACAAATTTCTTGGTAAAGGGGTCTAAAAACAGCACAAACAACATTTTCCAAAAGACCAAAACAGTGAAAAGGTATATTTTAACAAAACGGGTATATATAAAGTTATAGAGTTATATATATATATCAAAAATCCAGAAAAAGCTATCGTTAAAGATTTATTTTTTATTTTTCATGCCCATTTCATATAACCTTTTAACTGAATTTACAACTTCTTCCAAAGGTTTGATATCCACATGTTAATCAATACATAATTTGAATAATCCGAAGGCAGACTATTTTCACCAATTTGTCTATCATGGAGTCTGTTATAATACTTCATAATTTGTTGCTAAATTGTTGAAATCCAGGAGCTTCTTACTTTCCCCATGGACCCTATACCAGGGCAACCGGAATTACGCCATCCGTTCATAAAATCCTGGCCTAGGACTTTTGAAATGTAAAGTAACGCCCTATACCCTAGAATTTGGAATTTCTCGTTATTGGTCTACTGCTGTTAAGATCCATCCAATCATTTTAATATACCATAGAAAATTAATGGAGAGAATTCGGCATAAAAAATATCAAACCCTGA